ATTCATGCAAATAATTATATGAATTGTTATATTCATATAATTTTCTTGTTAAACTTTAGCAATTAGTTTGTTAAAATTCACCACTTCGTTGGTAATTCATTTTTTTTCAACAACTAGTTATTGAAATTCTTCAAATAATTTTCTCCGTGCGTGCATCATCTATCGAGAGTGTTCCTCTACTCGCACTCGAAAATACCAGCAACCAGTCTCTAAACGATAAATAATTTCCCAATCAAATCATATAAACCTTTCTAACCCCCCAGTGAAACCCAAATCCCGAAGTGCATTTCTGATGAAATTTCGTACTAATCCATAACACCGTTATCCCCCCATTCTCACTAAAATATAACCCATCAATGTTGCGTTCCTAGTGACAAGTGAATGTAGTAATGAGGGTCGGGTAGCCATCCCAGTAGAGGGTTAAAACTATCGAAAACTCATTAAACATCCCAATTTGAATAATTCAACTCCCCCGCCCCCTAAGAGTAATACGAAAAAACCAGAATACGAAGCATTTAATTGTCGATATCATTGGTAGTTAATAGTATGCAGGTGACATCGCGTGCAGAGTACAGTATCCCTCGGATGACTCGACAAGGGCCAGGGGGATGTAATTTAATTATCGCGCGTAGTGGAGAGCGCTTAACCTCATTGCCAACGGCACTTACCGTCTCGCTCGCAGATACGAGCTTATTCCAAATTCAATTACATTTACCAGTACCGATATTGTCCTCAGGAACATCCTGAAATAGGTGGCATTTGGAATTGAGAGTAAAAGTGGATGTCAGTGGAGCATTTCCCCGAGTACGTTCAACTGGAAATGCCACTGACATTGAGTCATTATGAATGTGCGGTTGTGGAGGGGTGGTAATTACTTCCGTCTGTGATCTCGTCACTTCCCAGAATAGAGTAAAAATTTCATTAAAAATTTCATTATACGAAGAAAAAAAAACATGAAAATAGTATATTTCGTAACGAGTGCAAAAAAGTGTTTTTTGGGGAGTGGGAGGTTTATATCACGAGCCGAAGGCGAGTGATATAATCTCACGAGTTAAAAAACATTTTTTCATGAGTTACGAACAATATTTTTCATCACAATGTGGCGGAAATTGGACTTTTAGGCACGCGGAGCGTGCCGAAAAGTTCGCTTTTCGTCACAGCGTGATGCAATAGTATATTTCGTAACGAGCTAAAAAACATTTTTTCATGAGTTACGAACAATATTTTTCATCACAATGTGGCGGAAATTGGACTTTTAGGCACGCGGAGCGTGCCGTAAAGTTCACTTGTCGTCACAACGTGATGAAAATTATTATACAAGCTACATTGTCAGGAAACAATAAAATGTCATGGATTTTGTTCTGAAAATTCAATGAATTTTTTAGGCACGCGGAGCGTGCCGAAAAGTTCGCTTTTCGTCACAGCGTGATGCAATAGTATATTTCGTAACGAGTGCAAAAAAGTGTTTTTTGGTGAGTGATATAATCCCACGAGTTAAAAAACATTTTTTCACGAGTTACGAACAATATTTTTCATCACAATGTGGCGGAAATTGGACTTTTAGGCACGCGGAGCGTGCCGTAAAGTTCACTTTTCGTCACAACGTGATGAAAATTATTATACAAGCTACATTGTCAGGAAACAATAAAATGTCATGGATTTTGCTCTGAAAATTCAATGAATTTTTTAGGCACGTGGAGCGTGCCGAAAAGTTCGCTTTTCGTCACAGCGTGATGAAATAGTATATTTCGTAACGAGTGCAAAAAAGTGTTTTTTGGCGAGTGGGAGGTTAATATCACGAGTCGAAGGCGAGTGATATAATCCCACGAGTTAAAAAACATTTTTTCATGAGTTACGAACAATATTTTTCATCACAATGTGGCGGAAATTGGACTTTTAGGCACGCGGAGCGTGCCGTAAAGTTCACTTTTCGTCACAACGTGATGAAAATTATTATACAAGCTACATTGTCAGGAAACAATAAAATGTCATGGATTTTGCTCTGAAAATTCAATGAAATTTCAAAATTTTATTTTCGGGAAAGGATCAGGAAGATTTAACATTCGTGTTAAGTATTGAAGTCTTGTTAAGCATTTTACATTGCTGCTGAATGGTTTATGAAGGCAAGGATATTTAGGTACTTCGTTCAAGTTGACAATTTGTTTCAAGCAAAATTTCTATTTTGCCGAAAATCTTGCCACCCCCATACTTTTTCAGACTTTTCATTGTTGAATATTTTTTCGGGAATTTCTTTAATGAATATTGTGAACAATATTTTATTCAATTTCACATTTGACTCTCGTTGGTCTAACCTCTAATGATCATACGGGAACACTGCACATGTGTTCCATATAACCGCGTAAATTCGGTCCGAGTAGTCATTTGCGCGGACCGTTGCCAGCCGTCAGGACCGCGCGGATTCAAATCACCTAATATGGTCCAATCAAGAAGCGTTTAATTTGATTGTTTGAAATTATCTGTCCGGAAACTTATGGTTTTTAATGTCGCAGAAGATTCTAGAATACACGGAGGGAAATGTTCAGTAATAATTACCGAACTTACAGTTCGCTTACCGATTACGGAATTGACTCAGAAAATTCAAGTGACGGTTTAAAATTACGATAATTTTTCACAGGAGATTCAGGTAAAAAGTACGGAACACTCTGGAAAAACTCCGTGACAGTTCCGTAAAATTTCCTACAACCACATTTCACGCCGGAATCACGGAAAAGTCACGTCATTTTTATTGAATATTTCTCTCCGTGTATAACAAAGTCATATACGGTTATGCGTATGAAAAAACTCTTCAAGACTATGAACTATTGGATTGAAGATGAGAGTATACAGCTGTTATAGACGCAATGTGTTAAATTTCATCGTTTTCTCGAAAAATGTTCGAAAACTAAGTTTGATATTGCGCCTAAAAATGATTTTCCCCAGAAAAAATTGCCTGAATCACTTCGATACCCTTAATACTCCATTGCGACGGAACCCCAGATATCTTGTGATAATTTCTTATGAAATCATTCCACTGAGGTTTAATCCATTGAGCGATGAACATCTTCAATCGTCTGCGTGTGAGGAGAGTGGGGGGTCCGTCAGTGCATTAGTGCGCCATAAGAGAAGTGCGGCGGCTGCATTTTGTAGCAACAAAATGGCGAAAGGTGGGAAGATGTTCGATTGTTGAGTGGGTTAAGTTGAACAAAACTTCATGAAATGATTTTCAAGCCAAACAAATTTAAAAATACGACTTGTTATCTTTATTCAATAAATATTGGATGTTACATAGTAACGCAAGGAATATTCACTTTAATCATAATAATCATACTCGATCGTCCGCCCTTCAAACGACGGCCAGTGTCCCTTCGCATAATTTAAACGTCGCTTTATTAAATTTGTTTCTAGCATCGGAGATCGCTCGAGAGCAGTTACAAATATATATTATATATATTCATCTCGTTCTCTTCAGTTATACATAATAATATTTATAATATTTATAACTATTTATATATCTCTGATTTCTTCCATCTCTCGTACAGCTCAATTTACCTCATTTCTTGTTCCTTTATTTCATTTTTCTTTATTTCGTTTTTTTTTCCTAAAGACAGCACAAACACGTAGGTATGGTACAGTATCCTTACAACGACTGTTTCCCTAATATCTCGGCGCACACCGTGAGAAAATTCAATATCTCGAGAAATTGGATTTCATAAACAAAAAAAGAAAACAATAACTGGAGAGAGTAGAAATACAAAAATAATACAAAATAAGTGGAGATTGCAGGTGTTACGTTGCGTGGTAGAAATTAATCAGAGAGCGATAGAAAAATACTGACACAAAAACTATTGGCTCGTGAATTATTTCCATAGGTCCGGAATATCGCGTGTTAACGCGACGAGATAAATCCCATTTTTTTATATCTATTCTTGTCGAAGAGTGCAGATTGCATGTCGTCGTGAATTTTCAAGCTTTTAATGTTTAATTTTGGGGAGCAAATCCACGCAATTGCCCTCAATTCACAATTATTTATACTTCAATTCAAATGACTAATAACAAATGAATGGAAAAAATCCATAAATAATCAAAATTCATTACAATTGATTGCATGTTTCAATCTAGTCAATTATTACAAATCAGTAAATTGATGGACACAATCACATTCAGATCATTGCACGATATTCCTCACAGTATCACTTACGATGTCACGTTTATTCTTACAATTAATCCTAGTATGTACAAATTGTTTTTAAATCTCGAAAATGCACTTTAAAAAATTACCTTCCACTCGCAATGAAAAATTGGAAGAACAGTATCAACATTTTGTTCACCTCAACTCCATGATTCAATAGTTAATATATTTCTTATAAATTATTCTACCTCATTCTTAGAAAATCTGATGAAAAAGTTGAAAACAGACAATTTGAGATTAATGTACGAAATCAATTTGTTATCAACTTTTCCCGTTTCATCATTTCATTACTTAATTTTTGTCAATTACTAATCCACCATCTATCGAAAGTGGTCCTCTACACGCACACGAAAGTAACATAAACCAGACCCTTAACGATAAAAAATTTCCTAATCAAATCAAATGAGTCTTCCTAGAAACTTCCAAGTCAAACCCAAACCCTAAAGTGCATTTCTAATAAAATTTCCTACTAAATCCCAACAATGTGATTACCCCTTTCCCATTATCTTCAGAACTAACTTGATTCATTTTAGTTCTCATCCTCTTGAGATGATCAAATCAGTGCGGGGTAAAAATTGTAACTTCAAACATTTCTCACATACGATTCTGCAAGTACTTCCAAAACTTCCAATAGAATTCGTTGAAGGACCATAAAGGTAACTTCACAAATTCTCTTGGACCCTTCATTTCTAAGATATCTCCAGAATTACCTGCATTCGCATTTGTCTCACATTCACATTTACCCCCCCCCCCACTCCAATGATTAAAAACGTTCAATCACACCCCTTCCCCCTAAAAATGAAGTCCCTAAACCCCCTGGAACATCATCACTGTAAGAACTGCACATTATAAGTCTCAATCTCCATGGGCATAGGACTAATCCCCATAAACCCATCCTCAAGATATTTTTTGCTCCTCGTCCCAGTGATGGTAGTCCTCGTAACATTGACACTCCCCAACTTATAAAACCCAGTTCCCGAACTCAATTTATCACTGAGTGGACAATGTTTCAACGTAACATCAGCGCCAACAGCGCAACTATACCCCTGTCTGTGTAACACCATTAAAGCACTGCTGACCGGAAAATGTGGCAGTTTCTGATCATGATTGGTCCTCAAATTAAGCAGATGAAGATCACAGGGAAAGCTCTGGCTCAAAAGCCTCACCTCGGGTTTCATCTTAATGTCGCTCTCGTTGCCATCAATAATGAACATGTTGATGGGATAATTGAGAGCATTGCTGATGTGATTAGCAAACAGAGAAGGCTTGGAGTATTGATCCTTCTCCCCGGCGATGTCCTCCAGCAGCATCCAGTGCTTGAGAACAGTCTTCCTATTATCGAGTAGTCCCTCACCCATTCCTCTCGAGTCATCGTAAAGAGTCCGCCTATCAAGCATGACCTCGAGCCAGCCAGGTTGATAGCTTGCCGCCCCCTGCGCATGATTAACCACCAGCGTCAGCCTGTGTGCGCTGTCTTCAATGTAAGTCATGGCGGTGATCGGGTAATAATTCCCCTCGATTCCAATTCTCTCGATCTTCCTTCGCTTGACCATCTGATGTCCATTGAGATCCGTGTAAAACTCGGGTGGATCTCCATTCAAAATATCAGTCTGTATTCTCATGAACATCTCAGTCTCCCTGTTCTTGGGAGGTGTCTCGAAATCCACGACATTCCTGAGGTAGATGGCTTCCGCCAGTGGACCATCATGATGGAAGATCGAGACATGATGCGCCAATAGCTTTCCATACTCAACCGTCAATCTTGAACTCAAACTCCCTGACACAATGTAGATCTTCTGATGCGGAGTGTAAGCCTCCAAGATATCCTTATCCTGATCCCTCAGATTCGGATCAGGCATGAACAGATACGCGCCAGAATGAAACTGCGCTGAAGCATATGCAGCGAACTGAATAGCGCACTGCATCACCTTGCCAGAGGACTTCTTTGTGACTCTCTTTAAAAATCCAGTTTGTCCGTCGAAAAGAAGCTTCATTCGATGGTTTTCTAGTTGAATGTCACTCGACTGCATCGGTTTTATGGGAAATACCGTGTCTTTACCGCATCTGTTGCAGTAGACCGTGGAAATTGACTCCATTGGGACCTTGTCAATGTGCTCAACTTGATAAGTAGCTATGGTTAAGGGTTTTAGGTCAGCCACGAAGAGGAGAACGTAGGTGTCGTGGGTTATACTTGTTGCATTCATAACAGGTGCTATTTGGTAAGGCACTGGGGTCCCCTTGGGATCCAGCACTCTGACTCTGTGGGAATTGACTCGTAAGCTCACGATTTCCTGTCGAGGTTGTGCTAGGGAGTTGAATAGAACGATGCTCCTTGATTCTCGACCGTTGATCGTTATCGGAATCTTCTTCGGTAGTTTCTCATAGCTGTCCCTATCAGACTCCGGTAGAACGTAGATCGAGTTGGTCTTTACGTTTGTTGCAGCTAGAGATTGTATAGCGAAGCTTTGGAGACTAGTCATGTCGGAGATTGATTCGAACATTTTGAGGGCGTAATCCTTCATGACGAAGGATTTTGACGTTCCTGTGATGGCGTCGTGGTGCTGGAAGAGACCGAGGTTCCTTCTAGCCTTCACCAGCTTCTCGAAGTAGGTCTCGTACAGTTTGATGTCGTGGCCACTCTGACGAGCCACGTTCAGAGCGATTGAGTAGAGGATCTCAGCTGATCGCAGGTTCGCTTCTAACTCTCGGTCGAGGATCTTCATATAAGGACGAGTCGTGAAGTAGCCGCTCCAGTAGGCGGGTCTCCCCTCGCTGAAGATGTCAGAGTACACGAAGAAGTCTCCTTCCAACGTTGGGAACTTCTCGGTTCGTTTCTGGATCTCGTGGAAATAGTCCTTAGGGGTTCCGAAGATTATCTCTGCGTTGTACTCGTCTTTACGACTGTTGATGTAGTCGACGAGGATTTTGTAGTTGGTGTACTGCTGGTCCCACTCGATCTGTTGGTCGTACCTGAAGTCGTCACCGAGGGGAATCAGGACGACGTTATGGGGAAAAAGAGAGCCTGTTCTGGAGTATTGCTCTAGCAGCAATTCCGACATCTGCTTGACGTTGTTCGGGGTGATGTCAACCGCGCGGACTGAGTACTCGGTGTACTCGCCTCGGATCTTCCGGAAGTCGAAGTTCAGGCAGACGTGGGGGTGCGGACCGCAGGAGTGCTTGATGTTGTAGATGTCGAAGGGCTGATTGTGGGTCAGGATGTCGTAGGCGCCGATTTGGTCCCATGGCTGCAGCCAGACGAAATCACCGTATTGCTTCTTGGCGAACCACTGCTTCCAGGCGTAGTGGATTCGTTGGATTATTGTGCCGCTTATTCCGGAGGCTTTCAGGAGGTGTGGAACTGTAGAGCCGTGGCCGAAGGGGTCCACTGACCAACCGGACTCTGGGATGACGCCCAAGTTGGATTTCAGCCATTGGTGACCTGGAACAAGGTTAGGAAAATCATTACGATTCGTGTGGAATCATTTGGTCTTTTACTTTTACGAAGGATCTGGATTTCAGTTCACGTTTTGTGGAATTACTCTATTTTTCATCGTGGAATTATCATTACTCTGAATTTTATCAACAGTGAATTAACAGAAACGGGAGGAAACTAATTTATTACATATTGATTGCAGCTGTTTCAGAAAGTAGATTTTATTAGTTAGAAATGGAATAATTGTTTGGGCGGTCAAGAGAACGACTTCATTAACATTCAATGATGCTTTATTTGGATCGAGTGAATCGTTTATTTGATTCGAGTGGAGCGTCAATTTGAAATCAATGTATCAGCTTCATACAATTGAAACATTTTCGTTCAAGTAAATATGAGTGCATTAATTTCAACTAAAAATGCTGCTGAAGTTAATCGAAAAATTTTGAATCAAGAGGTTTATTAAATTCAAAGGCTTGATTTTTATGGGTTTAGTCGAAGCTGTTGGTGAAATAATTGCACGAAAAACATTCCAATTCCGCTCAGGGATTAGAATAGACACGCATAATGATTCAATGAACTCTAATCCCGATATTTACAGTGAAGTTCTAGTTGTTTGCAGTCCACTGTTTCTCCCCCCCCCCCCCCCCCC